GAATGCTAAGTGAAATCAATGTCTTGGATTTCCAGGCTGAGCTTGGAGGTCACAGCCACTCTATCATTTCTCAGCATTATCCCTTCTCTTTCTCTCGCTCTCTCTCTGAGCCTCCAACTGGCACACAGCAGATTGAAAACAGCATGCATCACAGGGCTCACGCTGCACAATTTTACAGCCTTTTGGAGCCCCCTTCCTTTCCTTTTGGCCCACTTTTTTTTTTGTTTTGTTAGCAATTTGCAAATAAGTTTTGTTTGTGTCCTACAGAACTGCAAGCCAAAGGCATACAAATATGAAAAAGCAAAATGCAAGAGAGCCGATCTTGACAGCTGCCAGTAAGACAGTTATGCTTGATGTTACCGGTAGATATGGCAGGGGCTGTAATTCCACAATTGCCACAAAATAAATACTCTGCCCCCTTAGATCTCATCAGACATTCTGCTTGTGCACAAGAGATCCAAAAACAACACTGAGACTTTAAGTGTAGTGGATCTCGCAAGCCGCTAGCCACACACAAAAAAAACCTGTAAAAATGCACAAAAATCTCTTGTCAACCATAGACACAACTTTTTGGAAAAAAACCCCAAACAATCCAAAACTATCATCAAGCACTGCATGGCTTTGTGATTCCTTGCTCTATAGTATATAAAAGAGGACAAACCAAGGATAAACTTCGGGAAGTCAGAAAGTCTACACTGAGGAGAGAGGAAAGAAAATGTAGACCCAGAGCTTGATTCATTAACACAACAGCTACCACTTCCACACCACCTATTTTATTCTTTGAGCATGTATCTCACTGAGCTGACAATGGTATTATTTATTTGTCTGGGTATTTTTAATCTGTGTTGTTTTACTGTTAGGGTAAAAACAAGACACTACTGTCAATTCAAGGAATCATTTCTGACATGATAAAGGACATGGACAGCATGCTAGAGGACACTAACAAAAAGAAAGGACACATTTTTATCCAGCTCTTGCTGTCACCTAAATAGGACTGCTTTTCCCCTGAATTTCTTAGCTAAATTTTTCCTAATTGTTTTGCAACACCTGAGATGCGCCATTCAATTCTGACCCATTACTTTTGATCAGCTGTGGCATACACTGAGCTCATCTTCTTCCACGGGACATACTCTGTATTTTTCTAGGTATAACCAGTCACACGCTGGCGGCATTATAGAGATGCGACTATGAGCTGCTACCTTGAGCTCTTAAATGAGTACAGACCTAATTGCTCAGCTATGACCAAGATTATTCATCAGAGCCCGTTGCTTGATAGACAGATTCCAGCCCTGTCCTATGACACAACAGACATTGCTTTGGAGACTTGTTCCTCCACAAACTCCCACTGAACCCCAGGACAGGATCTGGCCACAGATGAGGTGCCCCACCACTCTCCATCTCTCGTTGACACACTGCTAACTTGACTCTGGTTTAGCCTTCTGAAAGGAAACGACAGTTGTGTGCTGGAATAGCAGCTGGTCACCTCAGCCCGCTACCTGTTACTGAAGATGGAAGAAACAGCAGTGCGACAGCTAGGACACTGCAACGGAACCCATGGGATCTCAGCTGACGTGGTGTCTGTTACTGACATCGTGTATGAATAGTTGTTTGGTATTACCGCGCTGGGGTCCTCCCACCGGAAAAATCACACTACGAGTATCCTCCTGTTTCAGGAAGCCATCCTGAGAACAAAGCTGCCTGCAACTGAGAGGCATGCAGATACTCTTCAGAAAAAAAACACATGCAAGTACCCATGTTGTCAGAAACGCAATGCTGCAGGGTCTGGTACAGTACCTTGCTTTTGGGTGGAGGGCTGTTTGTGCTCTTGTCTGTGTGGATGCTGGTAGGGGATACAGCAGCACCAAGGTTACCCTGGGGTATGCCAGGTATCTTGCCTCCCGGAGACACTTGCATCGCAGCAAGCTGGGCAGCATACAACTGCTGTAAAAACAAGCAAAAAATGGGGGCGGGGGGAAGAGAGAAGAGACATCATCAATAAATAAGTAATTTTCCCAAAACTTCTCCTACTGCAGATGATATATTTTCCTTCTGATGGGTATTTTTTATTTAGCACACTGGTATATTTCAAGACAAGAATTGTCATCTCAACTTTTGTGACTCATTGCTCAGGGGACGAATGACAGACGTCACCATGTGAAATGTCCCAGCTTCCCTGTGTGTCCAGGGATTCAAAACAAGGAACAAAAGCTAATCTTCACGGTTTGCCTGAGCCACTGAGCAATCTTTCCTTTCCTCAGACAACTTAGGCATAACAGCATCTCCACCAATAATATGCATCGACCCCTGTGAAATTCACATGATGTTTGATGTGATGGTCTCTGTGCTACCATTTTACATTTCTTTATCTTACTTGCTATGTTTGCCTTGTTTGCACAGGCTGCAAGGTGTTTGGGTCAGGGAATGTCAAATTTTTTTTTAGCACTTACTGTGAGAGTTCGCTCTCGGTCGGGTTCTGGGGAACCAACCACAGTCAATATAAATATATACATAGATGGTAATGTACTGTCCATTAGCAACTAGAAGCTCCAATTAAGACTAAGAACCCTTTCTGTGATAGATGCAAAGCAGATACACAGTGGGAATGTTTTTCTCTTCAAAACTAAACCAGTAAAGCATTTTAAACACATATTTGATTATTAGCATTTGAATACTTATAATCACAGTCATCTGTTTAAAGTTAACCACTATAGTAAGAGTTTAATGGACAGAGGTCAAAAGCAGAGAGAAAACAGGCAAACTGGCAGTGCCTGGAAGCTCCCCTGACCTCCAAATAAAAAGTGGAGAAAATAAACATGGTGGGCAGGAGAAGCAGCAATTTTTGCTGCTATGTGAACAGAGAGGAATTCAGGTGAAGCCAAATAGAAGTCAGATGTCTGAGAGAGCAGGTAATGTAGTAACAATGGCTTTCCCTCCTTGATCACAATATTAATTTCAAAGACTCAGGCTATGTGCTATTTGTGCTGTGCAGTACATGTGTAATGTGCAACACTGAACGATGGTGCTCTCTGCCCGCAGGTGCCCACAGAGCTTCTGAGACGCAACGTGACAAGGAATAACATGCAGGAACATGGAAGTGGATATGAAAAAACAAGGGGGCTTCAATATGACTAGTCTAAGTCTTGTTAGTGGTGCTTAGTTGTTTTGCTGTTGTTTTTTTGTTAACTGTATATGCTGAAAGAAGAATAAAGGTCCCAAACCACCAAGTCTGAAAGAGGAAAATGAGGATTCATTACAGGAGTACTCCACATGCAGCTGTGCAAAAGGTAGAGAGAGACTGCTAACGTGACTTCAGAGTACATCAGTCCTGTAGCAAACATAACTTGATCAAATGGGTGAGATTTACTGCTCTGAGTCTCAGACAAGCCTGGGTATTGTCCCGTGGTTCACTGTACAAACTCTTCCCTTCACTAGTGGACAATCCTAGCCCTTTCACATCATTAAAAGTAACCCATTTCTGCTCTTTTAGGTGTAATCAGGCACCAAGCTCTTACTTCTTTCTTTTTTGCTCTTTCTATTTTTTTCAGACTTCCTATTCTTTTTGGGTTTGAATCCTTTTTATTTCTTTTCTCTACTTTGATCACTGCTTGTTCCTTATTTTTCTGTACTTCTTAATCACCATTTATCCATCCCTTTCTGCTCGGTCTCCCTCTCTTAATTCATTCATCTGTTCTCTCCTTGCCTTTTCCCCAAATTTATTTATTCATTTATTCTGCATCACCCCCAGTGAGTCTGAGCCAAATAGATGCAAATCAACTACAGGTAAAAGTCATCAAAAACAATCCAGCCACAAATCAGTCACAGATTCAAATGCATGTATTTATCAGTTGAAGTTCATATCCATTCAATCCTTCAAAAGAAGACTAAATCCAGCAGGGAGAAAGGAACAAGGGCCCGTGTGAACCAGAGAAGAACTGCTGCAAGCAGTTCAATGGAAACCAAGCCAGCTTTATGTATGAATTGATGTATCAGAAGGGCAACAGTTGTTTATGAAATAGGATACATGACTAGGGAGCAGCTCAAACATAACTGGACTCCGGTGATGACAGAGCAGATCTAGGGAAAGCTTTTCCTTTTCTTTTGCTCCTGATTGAAAAAAATGACAAAACAAATTGAGGCAACTATGGGAAAAAGACAAAGTAAAATGGACACTGAGCAGGAAAGGGTCAAGCTTGCTGCTAATCTATAGATTAGATATCAGAGAATATGTCCAGTCCACAAGTAAAGGTAAAAATAACATAGTCAGTTTGGACACTTAGCAGTCCTGAATCAACCAGAGATCATTGATAGACCATACAGGGACTGTTCTGTTGAGGACTGAGCCTCCCAGAAATTTCTGTGAGCCTTCGGGGAAGACTTTTCAAACAGAATCCTTACCCTGAAAAGGGAGGGAAATCTCTACCTCAAACATAGCTCTCAACCTTCTGTTGAGGTCCAAAGAGTGAATCACAAGAACTAAACTATATGAAATACATGCACAACATGCTGTTCAAGAATCTGTACCATCTTACACCTGTTCAGTGGTCACTGAGAATTATGTCGGAAGCCATGGTTCCTCCTTACAGTATTCTTGTCAACCACCTTTTTGACAATGCATGCAAAGCAGACCATGACTAAATAAGCATGGGGAATGACTTTCCCCATGCAACAGCCCAGGAGAAAGCCATATTTTTAGATGATAAATGGAATATATGGAATTTCAAATGCATGCCTTATTTTCAGTTCAGGGACAGATATACCTCTAGAGAGTGAAGCACACAGCATAGTGTTGAGTAATCTGGAAGGAGCAGTGGAAGAAAACCTAAAAAGCCTTCATTCATGCTTTGTACAAACTTCTGTCCTCCTGTTATCAGATTCAACATCTCACCTCTAGTTAATTCATTTTAAGAATTAAAAACAAACATTAAATAAAATCTTATAAGAGGTCCCTTGTTAGAGTACCCTCTTAAAAAGTCCCTTCCTGCAATACAAACCAACTATTCTACTGAAAAGCAACACCAGGCCCAGTTCTAAAGTGAAAAACATGTAGTTTATGAAATTGCAAGGCTCTGAATCCTATTTAACCACTAAGATTGCTCCTATATCCCCCCTCATTTCAAAAAAAATGGACAGAAATACACAACATGCAGCACATTTCTTAGACTGTCAATATTTTTCAGCTTTGACATTATTGAACTTGTCTGTTCATATTTAGTTGTTTTAGGAGATAATGACCTTTAGCTTATACCCAAGGAAAGGGCAATGGTGTGACCAAGTGCTGTGAATCAAGACAGCTAAATGACAACAATTTATGCATTCATTTCATAGACAAACTGAACTCCAACAAAAGAATGTTTCTACCCCTGCTTCCCCAGTAGAGTTTCAGATTTTGGAACAGTGTATGATTCGCTCTCTGTTAAAACATTCAGTCACCATCTAAAATGCATCTTTACACTTTTCACATTAATGAAACCAAGATCTCAAAAAGTGCAATGAAAATTACGTTATTCTGTATCACTGCTGTAATACACTGCTCTTGAGTCTCTTAATTTGTACCCAAAACAGAGACTCCTGAAGTCACTTCTGCTACCTTCAGCTAACCTAACGGCTCAATCTCAAACTCTAGCACTCATGGAGGTCATTTTGCTGCACTACAACTCATACAGGGCTTTCAATCTATACGGTCTTGACTGGTTTATTGTGACCAAGGCATTCAGTTGAAAACAGTGAAGCACTACTCTTTTAGACAAGTTTATTTCTGCTACACATAATAAATAAAATATGGAAAGTAGGATACTTCTTCAAGAAGGCATAATTGGGCAGAATTAAAAAGTAACATCTATTGTTTGTTTATAACTAAATGACTACGTTTCAGCTCCCCTGTCCATGTGCAATATTGCATGCCTTGTTAATGCTTTCTCATTAACCTCTTATGAAAATCTGTATGGAAGCAAAATCATCAGAACAAAAGTACAATGTGATACACTTTAAATAAGCAGGAGGTATAGTTATTTTTTTAATGTTGCCCCTCTGTTCTTAAGCTTCTCCCCAGGTCACCACCAAAACCATTTATAATTCTTCCAATATATTAAGCAGAAATATTCAGCTGAACTCTCCAAATGGACTAGCTCTAACAGCTCTTGACTTGATGACTCTGTAGTACATCAATAGCAAAGCCTTAAGGTTAGACCGGCTTTGAAAACTTTCCCCTTGGGCATTGTTGTTACATGTTAACAATGCTCATTACTGCTTTGAGGGTACACTAAAAATGAATTCTTGTTCTATTAATACAGAAAATGAGAATGAGATTTAATAGCAATTTTAAACAGGGTTGAACAAAGTGTTAGCAATTACATAGGCAGAGATAGTTGATTCAAGCACCTATAGGCATTTGGATTACAGTATTATCTCTTATTAAAATATTTTTACTAGTGAACAGTAAAGATTAAGAGCTGTTATTAAAAAAAACAGAGAGATAAGAGACAGGTGCTACTGGAAGCCGAATCAGTTACTGTAATAAATTTGTTTCTGATATAAATGTGTTTTTCAGTGAAGTTACCACAGTGATGAATTTACAAACCACTGTGCTTAAATGTTTGAACTGTTGATTGATCCAACACTTCAGTTTCTTTGTCATTCTGAGACCCATCATTAAAAATATACACATGAATGGCCCTGTTCTTCGTTTTTTGCATAATCTGGGGGAAAAAATTGTATAAATTGAGATCCTCTCATTCAGAATACATGAATTTAATTTTCTTTACCTCAAATTTTATGCTTATATAAGGCATGCAAAGTGTTTGATTATGGCAGAAAGAATTACTTTTTGGATCTGTTCAGGTGGTTTTTGTATTTAAAAAAAAAGGACACAGGAATTAGAAAGAAAAAGGAATTCACTTAAAACAAACATTTGACATACATCCTACTGTAAGACAGGTTTTTAA